CAGCTTTGTAGAGAATTTCATGGTCTATGTTTTTAAAAAAAGTTCAACTATATATGTCATAATTTGAGCAAGCTCTTGAAAAAATACGTAGAGGCTCATTTGACCTGGGACACCCGTTATATTATGCATTTGTATTAAAATTAAAAGTTGAAAAATCTCCAAGCCATTTGAAAAAATCGACAAAAATAATTTTGATTTTTGGAGGAGCAGAATCCTCTCGACTTCTCCTTAATCGGAGACTCTGCTGACAAGTGTATGATATCTCAGCTTCCGATTGAAATGCGCTTTGGATAAATTATGTTTTTGATAAGCCATGATCAGTTGTTATACTCGATGCTATATACACATAAAGAAATCGTTTGATGCAAAATATTTGTGTCGATACATACTATTCGCAACAGGATATGTTGTACTTGCGATGGGAGAGTTTATGTGATGTTCACATTCATATTCAAATGAAACATCATTGTGTCGTTTTTTTATTGTCTATTGGCATGTCTAAATTAATTGGAATATCAATGAACAAATCATTACCTACAGATGAATTTACTTTAAATGTCGATTATGGTGGTGGTGTAGATTCGTTTTTTCTCGACGAAGCAGAACTGAAAATTTGCAATAATTTTTTTAAATAATATCAATCATTTACTCTTTACCTTGATGCAAGATTGCTATCGTACTTGCTAGTGGAAGATGACGATGATTGCTTACATGATGAAGCTTTTGATGTATCTTCTGATTCACTAAAAATAGAAAGCACATTCGCACCGTTGGAGCTTAGAACCGCAAGTGATGTACCTTATCTTCTTGATAACTTTAACTGGTTCACCATCTTTTATTTTTACCGGGACACGTTTCGCTACGTATTTATCGCCATACTCCAAATAAGCAGGCAGCGTTGACCACCTCTTCCTTTCCTATCCCATTGATCTGGAATACTAATGTCTCTTTCTTTTGTTTTCTTCCTTTTGAGCCTACTGTAACGTTATATTCATTAACTTTGAACTGAATATTAATACATCGACGTAAGTCATGAATAGCTAGATAAGGACGACTATACGCTTGATCTTGACAGATACTCTTTTTCATTGTTCGAAAATAACTTTCTATCAGAGCATTGGAATGTCGAACAGGATTATATTTGCTAGATACAGTTTTTTAACGTCATTTACATAACGTTCTTTAAAATTGAATAGTAAAACAGTCCGAAAGGGTAAATATGCTCACCATCGATAGAAGATACGTATTAAAGATCGAGAGTAAAGTGGATTAGTATATTTAACCTTTGATAGTTTTTTGTTGATTAATACAATAATTGTAGGATATAATCTAACAGCTTCTCGGTGGAAAAGTGAGTAATGAATAATAGGACCACTGCTACGTAAATATTTCGTCGACAGCAATCAATTCACCTTTTCTTTCCTTTGCCGCTTGAAACACTTTTACTGTGTCAGTTAGTTCAGCTATGCTTTCTTCATCAATGTCAAATTTTGTTTTGCGTTCTGTTCATTTGGATTACTGAGTACATCCATCAGTGAGCTGAATATGTCATATAATTGTTTTATATCGTTGCTGTACAAGATGAAAGCGAAAATGAATAACACATCTCGTCATATTTTCTTATCGATGTGTGCACTTGTTAAATTTCTTGTAAAAGCATGAATGACATGACAACATTTAAAATGAATGAATGAATGATGCCGATTGCAATTCTTCAGCAGTGTATCTACCATTAATAACATTCCAACATCGATTTAGGTGCACATTAACAGTTTCAACATTAACCCTTGTACTACCGTCCTTCCTTTTCCACTTTTTATGCACAAAAATAAGCTATTCTATTATATTCGGATATAGTTGTCGATCTTATCTGAAAATCTCCCATGTAATTTGGAACTTTCTATGAAAAAACGAACCAAAAAACAAATTCCTGGTGTAATTACATTCACTACTATCTGGGTTCAAAATGACCCAGGTTGGAAGTACGAGTTTTAAATGCTTCAAGGATAGCATTCATACGAGCAGCAGAAAAATCAATAATATAAAAAGACGAAACAATATCTGTGCCTCTAATCTGACGAATGCTATAACATAAATCTCTAAGAAAATTACTAATGCTTGGAATTCTGTTGTCAGCTAACATTGCATGCACCACTGGAGTGGTATTATTGAAATCATCGCCATCTTTAAACATCAGTGCATAAAGTAACACTTGTTTTTGCCAAACCAATTTTTTTCATCACACCACCAGTTGCATCTATATGAATATATCAATAGTGTTCTTTAGCACAATACTTTATATATCGCCGAATCTGTTGTTCACAATATAAATGGGGAGTGAATGGTTTTTCAGCCATATAATGGACATATCCTTTGAATACACAAAATAAATTATTAAACAATTATTTATATAGAAAATATTCACCTTTACAATCCTTCAACGTTGTGTCTGTTGTTTGAAAACTGTATTGAGTAATACGACAGTCTTCATATATACTTTCAAAAATATGCATACTGTTTCGATAGTTCAATGCCGATTTCTTTATTGTTTCGTATGTGTAACAGCCAGTGAAGTTGCCTACTGCGAGTAGTCTTTCATCGACACTTTCTACAAGTGCACGGTACACAGCTAATGGACCGATGCTATTTGCTGTTTCTCCTAAAGAATAAATACTTTTTGTTGTTAAAAGTTTAGAAAATGAACAGTAAGTAATTCTTACCAATTTCTAAACATTCTTTGCCTTTAAGTTGTGCGCTACTAGGCCCGTTACCATGATTTTCTTTCTCAAATATCTTAACAAGGAAGAGGATAGGTAAATTTTCATCAGGAAACTTTCGAAATACTATTATATATATATTTTCTCCTACATCCTTTAATAGTACGTTTCGAAGTACAAGAAAAATCACGACAGTTTCTCTTTCTTTTGTCTTCTTTAAAATATGAAGATGCACTAAGCTTTAGAGAGCAAGTTATTCTTGTTTCAATGAAGATGAACTTCTCGCGAGATGTTTTCGTCCAATCATCTTTCTATTAGTACAACTAAATATATGTTTCCATTCAGTTACGCAGAAAACAATTGATATTTATCCCATAACATTTTCAGTTTTTTCGTGAGCACGTGTTTCTCGTAGTTCAGGTGACGGAGGTGATAAGTTTGGAGCTATTATCGAATTGATTTAGTTTAGATCAGAAATATGATCGTCTTGACCGATATCTTGACTTTGACTGATATTTCGTTTCATTTCTTCCGCTAATCTTAAAGCTTTATGAGTATCATTCTGCCAAATTTTGTATAAGAAATGACGCGTTGATTCGCTGTGATCCACTTATAAGTTATCAATAAATTCTCCACAAAGAGAAACCGATAACTTGGTTTTGTCATCTAAACGCCCTGATTCACCTCCCTGATTATTTATACGATTTCCCAGAAAAGCAACAGCATTCACAAATTGATCTAAAGTAATTCTTGATCAGATATTCTTACGTTTCGTATATAAATCAGATTTTGCCATTTCTTGACAAACGCAGTATCACAGTTTAACGAATATAAATGGAATAGTTTGTAAATAAATTGCTCCGATATATAATACTTATGTATATCAATTTTTAATTATCTTTCTATTTAATACATACATATTCGTGCGTATAAACGATGAGAGACGCGCTATTTCTTTAAAAAATAGGTTCAACAGTGGAAATGAGATATGTTACGTCAAGGAAAATTATTCACGCGGCAATCATAAGGAATATGTTCATCTTTATCATCACTTTTCTGTTCGTACATCTGCTGCATCAGAAGAGTCCATTGATCACTAATCTCCCGAAATCGTACATCTCTATGTCAAAAAATCTACATTATAACTGAGCGACATAATTTATCTGTAGGCATTTTCTTTCGATTGTTGAGCAAGTTTATATCGCCTTTCAGGTAAAGTGGAATCGATACTCACGGGCAATTGGATTAAATTCAATACGTTAGAAAGATAAAACATCATGAGGTAAAAGCGATCGCTTTCAATAAACAGCAATCATGAGAAAGTGCGTCTTTTTATTGATTATATGCGGTATACATTCACAATCAGGGTTGTGATTCACTTCGGACACACCGTATATACAATGGAAACTGAAAAGGTTTTCACTCAGTCAAACACACCACAGTGTCTCATAGTCTCGTCTTTTACTGCATTGAAAAGTCATTTAAAGCCCTCGCGAGTAGAAAAATCATTAACTAGTAGGCTTTGCTATTCTAACTTACTTCCATGTAGCATCCATGATACTCAATCGATAGATCCCATCGAGTCCTATCGATCTTCAAAGTTTGACTGCTTGGTCCGATCGGTAAGCGAATCCATTCAGGTTTTACTGAATTTTTACCAGTTTTTGGAGTCTTTTACTAAAAGGAAAAATCCTTTGGAGAAAGTAAATACACCACTCGGTAGAGCTCATCAAGGTGAATCTTGGTCTGATGTTGGTCCCATCATCAAGCGATTCCATTCAAGAAAAACTTCAATCCTATTTTAGAACATCCTACGTTCAAGGTAAACTAATTCATTAAGTGCTATATGTATGTGTCTGAATTCCTGTGATTATAATATAATCATCTCTCTCTCGTGTTTTTATTCTAATCTTATAGGGATCACATAAATCACTTCTTTCAATAGTTCGTCGCAGTGGAGCTATTTCGCTTTTTTATTATTCTTAAGAATTGAAATATGATTTACAATAAATAAGTTTTTTAAAGACGTCTGTTATGTTAAATGTTTTAAATATATTGAGTGTTAGATGCATCGTCCGAATAACTCGTAGAAGGATTTTTATTAATCTTTTTAAACGTCACATATATAATCAAATTTGTTAGTATGACTTCTACGTTCATATTCCTCCCGACGGAATAATCAATGACATGGGAAACAGCCAAATACATTCAATGCAACGAACACATTTCAATGTATTTTATCTCAAGATTGTTCGACAATATGAACATAGTCAGATATAAAAATAAAAAATATCACCTTCAAACTCACTTTATAGTTAGTATGTATATATTTATGAATTCCTCTCTTGACCACCCCGGTCGATCAATCTCGTACTCGGATCCGAAACATGAATTTTCCGGATTTCCTACGGGTCATCATAGAATATAGCTAAAAACAAACGCTCATAAAATTTGCAATAACCGACTGAATTTTTCTAGTCGAATTTCAATGCAATTCCGTTTCCAGGAATCCGATCGGATCCAGCATCGGAATTGTTGACCTGGCCATGTAAAACATATTTCGAAAAAATTGCAATAAATGTATTTCAATGTTTTTTTAATGTATCGTAAAATACATAGCGTTCAAATTATTCTATTTGCTAAAGACACTTCATTAGGTGCGCTTTAAAATGTGTTTCAAAATTACACGAATAGATCTACAGTCGATGATGAGGTCTCTGATATAATTGATAATTCATCGTTTAACGATAATAATGGTTTGATCGCGTGTGCAAGCTGTCGAACTGATGGATAATTAAATACGAGATTAGGATCAATTTCAACACCAATTTGGTAACGAATAAGACGGATCATATGCAGCACATTCAATGATGTACCACCTATTTCTCCAAACGGCGTATTTACATCTAGTAATTCATTATTAAATACTTTGCTAAAAATACATCGCAAAGATTTTTCAAGTGGTGTTAATACTAATAAATTAGATTGGTTGACATTCATCATCGCAGATAAGGGATGTTTGGGTAGAAGTTTTCGATCTATTTTTCCATTTTCATTTAATGGTAATTGTTCGAGTATAACAAATACTGATGGAATCATATGGGATGGCAAACGTGATTGACAACGTTCGCGTAGTTGATTCTCATCAATATCAGAACTTTGAATGTAAGCAACTAAACAATTATCATCCAATATAATTACAACACATGCAGAGACAAATGTGTGTTCAAATAAACATTGTTCAATTTCACTAAGATCAATATAATGTCCATGTAGTTTACTTTGATGATCTTTTTTTGCTTTATAATAAAGAAGACCTTTATTATCCATTCGAGCAAGATCACCTGTTCGAAAGAATAATTCATGATCAATATCAACAAATACTCTTTTTGTCAAATCATTGTGTCCAAGATAAGCAGCGAAGGTACCTGCACCTCTTACAAATAATTCGCCTATTTGTCCGGTTGTCACAGATTGTAAGAATTCATCAAGAATGATACATTTATAATTAGGAAGTGGATATCTAATTGGAAGAATAGTTTTTTTATCATTTATATCGACAGAATGATACATGAAGTCAATCGCTGTTTCTGTTGAACCATATGAAGTCCACATATGAACGTTCTTGCACAAATTATTGTATAATTTCTCAATTGACTGAATTGTATTAATGTTATCTAGGAAAAATATATTAGAAATTTCTAAAACTTATTATAAAACATCATACTTCTAATATTTATCTTTCGCAGCGTATTAAACTTTAGACAATCATATTTTAGTACAAATTCTAATATATATTTGAGATATTCTGGAACAGTTTGCATATAGGAAACTTGTTTTTGTTGTAATACGTTTGAAATATATATAATATCTTTATTACCTTGTGGATGTAGCATTATAACAGCAGATCCAACTAAAAGGGCACCTAAGATTTCTGGTATATGTGCGTTGTTAGAAGTACATGACATTTGTATGATTGTATCTTTATTTGTAAGAATATCTATATGAGTAAGAGAATTAATATGTGTAATAAAATTATAATGTTGAATTTGAATCTATACAATTATATACATATAACACATGTAATATTTTATTAAAGGAAAAAACAAAAAATCTTACTGATTTTGGTATGTCATTCGATACTTTTGTATGAATTATATAGTCAATATTTTTATTAGTTAATACGGAATCAATATCAAGCGAAATAATGTTATCATTAAACTTAGATTTTGTCATATAATGAACAAGAACAAGACGAGTTTGAATGTTTTGTAATAATAAATGCATACGATCTTCCGAATCATGAGGTGGTAATGGGCAATAAATACTACCACACATCACAATTGACAGCATTCCAATTACCTACGAATATAAATATATAATTAGTAAGAATTTAAAAATAACTTATAGTTGGCTAACTTACCACTGATAAACTTCGATCTACACATTGACAGATAACGTCACCCGGAACAACATTATGTTCATTCACAAGATTGGACGATAATACTTGAGCATAATATAATAGTTCGCAGTATGTCAAACATTGATCATCAAGTTCAAGAGCTAGTTTTTGTGGATATTTCATTACTTGATATGCAAATTCATGATGAATGAAAGATGCAGAAGAAAATACCATTCGTGTATTATTTATTGTTTCTTTTAAAATTCTTTCATCTGGTAATATTAACGATAATTCAAAGATTGATTTTTCTATTCGATCATCTGTTTCATTAAATACTTGTTCTATTATTGAATGAAATCGCTGTGCAATCTGCACAACTGTTTCTACATCAAATAAATCAAGCGATGCATTAATTGTGCATGAAAGTTGATTAATATTGGGATCATGATAAATATCAACACCAAAGTTGAAATCAGTCATGATTTCATCTGCATTAATCTGGTATGACACAGGCACAACACAATGTTGAACATCTCTAATCATCATTTTATTTTCATTAACTCGAAAATTGAAGAATATATCGAGAAATGAACATTTTGAAATATGTAGATGTTGATGAAGAATACGTTGAAGCGGAAAATAAGAATACTCTAAACTATTTGTTATCATGTCTTGAACATACTTTATAAGTTGATAAAAAGACCAATGAGGATTCAGTTTACATCGCAATGGAATGATATTCTCAAACAGCCCAATGATTGTCTTTAACTCGTCTTTCCACCGAATATCCGTATTCATTCCAATACATAAATCTCTTTCTCCATTAGTCAATTTGAATAAAAAGACATAGTAGATAGCTAGTGCTACGGTTATAGGCATAATACCATTTGATGAACTATAATTAATAAAATGATACGTAAGATCTTTGTTAAAATCAAAAGACACATATATTCCGCGGTATGTTCGATGTTCATTTGGAAGAAGATATCGATCAAATGGTAATGATAATAACTGATCCAAATTATAATCATGAAGTGTATCAAGCCAAAACATACTGGTATTAGTCATTGGCATTTGTCGTTCAGTGATAGCATCTACGTGATAAAGAGAGAAAGAGAGTAACGAAAAAATATGAAAATGTTTTATATTTACAATCGAGATAACGTAGATTATTATGATCATCGCTTGACAGTTGACCTGTAAAGTATGCTCGATCAAGATCATGGAGGAATATGTTCATTGATTGAAGATCAAAAAAAGCAGGATGAAAATTGAAAATGACTATATCTTTGTCAGAAATTAAGTCATTTGTAGGAATTTGTTTGTAATAAACAACATGACAGCGAAACACTTGGCCTTGAGAAAGGTTGAAAAGTTGAGAATTATATTTTTCATTGTGAATAATCTGATTTAATTGTTCATTTGCTTCAAAAGTGCTTTCAACAAATGCAAACAATTTGTCATTGTCATTCTTGTTCATATCAATGATTTGTTGCATAAAAATATTGTTTTCTTTATGAAATACGAGTGATGTACGAAGTGATTGATGTTTGTATACAAGCTGTTGCAATGATTTTTGCAATTGAATAATTGACAAAGTGTCACTTGATGAACATCGATATGTATAAGGCAAATTAAGGATACCAGCGTATGAGTGATGAAGATCAAAATGTCTTTGTTTGTTTAACAACAGACGGGATTGGGCATATGATATTGGTGCTAAAAAAATAGTATATTCAAAGAAAAAAGTTCCTGTATATTATTAGGGAATGCAAGGCAGAGAAATTATTACGAAATTTATATTTTCGTTTCTAATCAAACTTTCATATTAGTTTACAAATGAGTTCTAAACAGGAAGTTCAAAGTATAACAGAATTGCTGATAAACTATGAATTTCTCGAGATTAAAACATTTATTACTGTTTCAGAGATGTGTTCAATGCAAAGTGAATCATTATTTTTTAATGATCAAACGCTAAAGACAAAAATCAACTTATACGAAGATCTCGATAATCAACAAGGAGTTTTTGAAAAGAAATATTCTTCTAATTTATAGTTTTTACGTCTATCCGCTTATACACTATACACTTTTTAAATTATAGTTTTTTCGAAAATTGACTCTAAATGAGTTGAAGTATTGTCAAGCGTTTACAATTCATTCGACAACCTTTTATTATCCAAAAAGTTCTTGATTTTCCACGATACACAGGTTTAATCTGATTTAAGAAAAAACCTGAGTTTTTATATGGTAAAAGTTCAGCATCATTTCTCATAAAACTCGAGAATCAATGTCGATTCGAAGGAAATAATATTACAATAATACCTATGACTTGTTTTTTTTATGCCAATCTTCGAAAATTAGTTTATATAATTAAGTATGCTATAGATCGTCCGAAAAAATTCTTAAAAATTTAATAATATTTTTATTTTTATTGTAATAGATTGGTAAAAATTATTTTGATTTTAAAGAAATTTCTATATTCTTTTGAGGTGTTACATTTCTCATTGACTATGATCCACAACTATTTCGAATGTGATCATAAGGATTTACTCTATTATCTATGTAGTTGTTCTCCTTTCTTTTTCCTGTCATTAATCCTGAACTTTTCCTATCATATGTGTGTGTAATTATGCCTTTCCTTTTCTGCCATAGATATATAAGTATATATGTTAGCAGACAGAGAGATTTCAGATCTTACATCGTCCTTCGATCTTGTGAAAAGCAATTCAAAGTAGTATTAATCTTACATATCATAAGTGATAAAACGAGATAAACATACCTTTATTGACAATACCAGATAATCTATAAAACATTGCTCCTTGTATTTCTTCAAGTTCTTCTGGCAGTATAATAGATAGTTCCCTAATAGGTAAAAGATATTCATTGGTAGTGATACTGTTGGAATTTATCGTAAATAATTGCGAATAAAACTGTTCAAATCGTTTTGTTATTGTCTTTAATGTAGTTTCATTAAAGCAATCAAGTGAAAAATTCATAAGACATGATAATTTTCCACTATCTAATGTTGAATCGTATAAAAAAATTACTTCGAAATCAAATATAGCGTATTGAAACGATGAAATTGGAAGAGACACTTTGTCTAAACTTGTATCCAACAAGTTTAATTGATCTAATTCTCCCTTTTCGGTATTAAATTCGAAAAATGTTTGAAGAAAAGATGTGTTTAACTGATTGTGATGAAAATCAGCAAGAATATCTTGCAATGGATAATGAGTATGTTCACAAATTGATGTGTATTTTTGTTGCACATGCTTGACAAGTTCTTTAAATGACCACTGAGAATCAACTTGTACACGATAGGGTAATGTTGCAACAAACATTCCGATCATATTCTGTAATTCAGGTTTGTAACGATTGGCATCTNATACTTGTTCTATTATTGAATGAAATCGCTGTGCAATCTGCACAACTGTTTCTACATCAAATAAATCAAGCGATGCATTAATTGTGCATGAAAGTTGATTAATATTGGGATCATGATAAATATCAACACCAAACTTGAAATCAGTCATGATTTCATCTGTATTAATCTGGTATGACACAGGCACAACACAATGTTGAACATCTCTAATCATTGTTTTGTTTTCATTAACTCGAAAATTGAAGAATATATCGAGAAATGAACATTTTGAAATGTGCAGATTTTTATGAAGAATACGTTGAAGCGGAAAATAAGAATACTCTAAACTGTTTGTTATCATTTCTTGAACATACGTTATAAGTTGATGCAAAGACCAATGAGGATTCAGCTTACATCGCAATGGAATGATATTCTCAAACAACCCGATGACTGTCTTTAACTCTTCTTTCCACCGAATATCCGTATTCATTCCAATACATAAATCTCTTTCTCTATTAGTCAATTTGAACAAAAAGATATAGTAGATAGTTAGTGCTACGTTTATAGGCATAATACCATTTGATGAACTATAATTAATAAAATGATTCGAAAGATCTTTGTTAAAATCAAAAGATACATATATTCCACGGTATGTTCGATGTTCATTTGGAAGAAGACATCGATCAAATGGTAATGATAATGACTGATCCAAATTATAACCATGAAGTGTATCAAGCCAAAACATACTCGCATCAGTCATTGGCATTTGTCTTTCAGTGATAGCATCTACATGATAAAGAGAGAGAAAGTAATGAAAGAATATGAAAATGTTTCATATTTACAATCGAGATAGCGTAGATTATTATCATCATCGCATGACAGTTCATTTGTAAAGTATGCTCGATTAAGATCATGGAGAAATATGTTCATTGATTGCAGATCAAAAAAAGCAGGATGAAAATTGAAAATAATTATATCTTTGTCAGAAATTAGGAAATTTGTAGGAATTTGCTTATAATAAACAGCACGACACCGAAACACTTGACCTTGAGAAAGGTTGAAAAGTTCAGAATTATACTTTTCATTGTAAATAATCTGATTTAATTCTTCATTTGCTTCAAAAATGCTTTCAACAAATGCAAACAATTTGTTATTGTCATTATTGTTCATATCAATGATTTGTTGCGTAAGAATATTGCTTTCTGTATCAAATACGAGCGATGTACGAAGTGATTGATGTTTGTATACCAGTTGTTGTAATGATTTTTGAAGCTGAATAATTGACAAAGTGTCACTTGATGAACATCGATATGTATAAGGTAAATTAAAGATACCAGCGTATAAGTGATCAGGATGAAAATGTCTTTGTCTGTTCAACAACAGACGAGTTTGGGCATATGATATTGGCGCTAAAAAAATAGCATATTCAAGGAAAAAAATTGCTGTATATTATTAGGAAGTGAAAGGCAGGGAAATTAATACGAAATTTATATTTTCGTTTCTAATCAAACTTCCACATTAGTTTACAAGTGAGTCTTTATACGAAGTTCAGATTACAACAGAATTGTTGACCAACCATGAATCTCTTGAGATTAAAGCGTTTTTTACTGTTTCAGAGATATGTTCAATGCAAAGTAAATCATTATTTTTTAATGATCGAACACTAAAGACGAAAATCAACTTGTACGAAGATCTCGATAATAAACAAAGAGTTTTGAAAAGAAATATTCCTCTAATTCATAGTTTTCACGTCTATCTGCTTATACACTATACATTTTTTTTAATTATATTTTTTTCGAAAATTAACTCTGAATAAGTTGAAGTATTGTCAAGCGCTTACAATTCATTTGACAAATTTTTATTACCTAAGAAGTTCGTGATTTGCCAAATTACACAGATTCTATTTGATTTACGAAAAAACATGAGTTTTTATATGGTACAAGTCCAGCATTGTTTTTCATAAAACTCAAGAATCAATGTCGATTCGAAGGAAATAATATTACTAACTATGACTTGCTTTGTATACCAATTTTCGAAAATTAGCTTATATAATTAACTATGCCACAGATCGCCCAAAAAAAATTTTTAACAATTTAATTATATTTTTATTTTTATTGTAATAGATTGGTAAGAAATATTTTGATTTCAAAGAAAGTTCTATATTCTTTTGAGGTGTTATATTTCTCATTGACTATGATTGACAACTGTTTCGAATGTAATCATAAGGATTTTCTCTATTATCTATGTAGTTGTTCTCCTTTCTTTTTCGTGTCATTAATCCTGGACTTTTCCTATCATATGTATGTGTAATGATGCCTTTCCTCTTCTGCCATAGATATATACGTATATCAGTGAGCAGACAGAGAGATTTCAGATCTTACGTCGTCCTCCGATCTTGTGAAAAGCAATTCAAAGCAGTATTAATCTTATATATCATAAGCGATAAAACGAGATAAACATACCTTTATTGGTAATACCAGATAATCTATGAAACATTGCTCCTTGTATTTCTTTAAGCTCTTCTGGCAATATAGCAGATAGTTCCCTAATAGGTGAAAGATATGCATTGGTAGTGATACTGTTGGAATTTATCGTAAATAACTGCGAATAAAAATGTTCAAATCGTTTTGTTATTGTCTTTATTGTAGTTTCATTAAAGCAATCAAGTGAAAAATTCACAAGACATGATAATTTTCCACTATTTAATGCTGAATCGTATAAAAAAATTACTTCGAAATCAAATAGAGCGGATTGAAACGATGAAATTGGAAGAGATACTTTCTCTAAACTTGTATCCAACAAGTTTAATTGATCTAATTCTCCTTTTTCGGTGTTAAATTCGAAAAATGTTCGAAGAAAAGATGTGTTTAACTGATTGTGATGAAAATCAGCAAGAATATCTTGCAATGGATAATGGGTATGTTCACAAATTGATGTGTATTTTTGTTGCACATGCTTCACAAGTTCTTTAAATGACCACTGAGAATCAACTTGTACACGATAGGGTAATGTTGCAACAAACATTCCGATCATATTCTGTAATTCAGGTTTGTAACGATTGGCATCTAAAGAAGCAATGCATATATCACTTTCACCATGAATTAGTTTGAATAAAAATGCATAAAAAGTAGCTAACGCTAACTGATAAAGTGTAACTTGATGCACGGATGCAAATGTAAGAAATTCTGTCGTAGTATCGGCATCATCAAAAATAATCTCATTTGTAACGCCAGCTGTTGAATGATGCTCAGTCGATAAACGGCATCGATCGAATGGCAATGGTAAGCGTCGTTCGAAATTATATCCTTCGAGTTGTGAATGCCAAAACTTGCGCGATGCTGTCATATCTATCAGACGTTCATGTACAGAATAATCAATGTATTGCAATGTATTCTCATTCATAGGTAATGAACAGTCGTTTCTATAAGCATTAGATAAATCACATAATAACAGTGGTATTGAATATCCATCTATCGCAGAATGATGAAGACAAATAACTAACAAATCATCAGATGTCAACAGGTCATCATTCTGCGATGTCAAATGATGACGGTGATGTTGTCGAATAATATGGCAATGCATAACCCTGCCTTTTTCCAAATCAAACAAGTCCGAGTCCCTCATAATTTCTTCAATCTTATCATCCAATTCATTGTCATTATGAAGTTCTGTTACTGTGAAGCCAAAAGATTGGTGATCATCAATATCACTACGATACTGTATTAGTTTACCATTTGTATTAAAATCAACTGCTGTACATAAAATCGGATGCGCTCTTACAACAGCTAGCAGTGTTCGACGTAGTCGACTAATTAATGCATGACTTTCAACAGATGATATACGATACAGTAATGGAATAAGATACAGATTATTCATCGTTGTTTTAGATGAAAAACGAATTTGTTCATCCAAAATTACGCGTTCTTGAGCAAATGATGCTCGAGCTACAATAGAAGAAATAGAATAAAGTTGATAGTAATTGCCAAATTTTGATTTTACCTTTAGTGAGGTACAATGAAGACCAAATATTATCATTTATGTTTTGAGTAGTATTATTCGTAGTTTGATGAATAAGTTGAGCATGGTTAAGAATTGTTGGAGACTGAAAAAGTTCACGAATTGAAAGACTATTTGTTTCTAAATGAAATCGACTTTTGTATCGATATAAAAGCTGCATGAGTATAAGAGAATGTCCACCAATAGTAAAGATATTTGTATCAATTGAGATTTGTTGTTGTTCTAATAAATCACACCAAAGTTGATGAATGATGGCTTGAATTTTATTTGTTGGTTGTAATATTTGATCAGGATCTGAGAGAAGTGTTGATGGTAGATGAGAAGAGCCAGGTGATGGAAGACGTTTTCGATCGACCTTTCCATTTGCATTCAAAGGGAATTTGTCAAGTATGATAAAAAATGATGGAATCATATGTGATGGTAGATTTAATTGGCAATGTTCACGTAGTTGATATTCATTAATATCAGTACTTTTTTCAATATAAGCGATCAAATGATCATCACCCGATTTGGTCACAACACAACCATAAATCGATGTATCAAGCAGACATCGTTCAATTTCTTCTAATTCAATTCGTTGCCCATGCAATTTAATTTGAAAATCTTTTCGACAGATATAATGCATACAGCCGTTTTTATCAACTTTAACAAGGTCACCTGTTCGATAAAATCTTTCGCCATTGATATTGGTAAGTACTTTCATTGTCAAATCATCACGACCGAGATATCCACAAAATTTACCTACACCACCGATAAGTAATTCACCTTCTTGACCGATGGCAACAGATTGTAAGAATTCATCCATGATTAAACATATGCAATTAGGAAATGGCGTGCCAATAGGAATATTATTCATACCGAAATTTTTCTCAACTAGATGATATGTGATTCCATATGACGCTTCAGACGGACCACAGAGATTCCAAATGCGACAAGATTCAATAACATGGTTCTTCAATAAAGTGACCGATGTGGCTGAAACAGGTTCACCTAAAGAAATACGTTGATATTAAGTTGCGTTCTTTGTCTTCTTTAATTAGCGATACTCACCCCCGTAGCATACATTTCGTATTGTTGACATCAACGGATTAAAATTGTTCTCCTGGATGAAATCACAAAAATACTTGAGGAATGTAGGCACAGCCTCCAAATGTGTAACTTCTTTACTGTGTAGCACATAATCGAGATATGCAAAGTCCATGTTACCATCCGGATGCAACATAATTACAGTGGCTCCGCAAAAAAGAGATGCTAGAATTTCTAGTATATGTATATCAAACGTGGAAGCAGCAAGTTGCAACACAATGTCATTTTTATTTAAAGCATCTATGTTGATTAATGAATGGATGTAGTTTATAAAACCTTCAAGGTGTACTGGAACCTATTAAACAGAAGAAAATATTAAACTTCCTACCAAACGAAAGTGAAAACGTCTCAAATATACCAATTTGGGCTTTCCAGTTGAGCCACTTGTGAAGGTAACATAAGCAATAGTTCTAGCGATTATTCCGGTGTTCGATAGTCTGTCGATATCAATACTACCCTTCACTTCATTGTTAATCAACACTGAATCAATATCAAGTGATATAGTATCAGCATTAAATATAGCTTTTGTCAAATGATGAACAAGAACAAGACGACTTTGGATTTCTTCTATAAGTACATGTAAACGACGTTCCGGATCTCGAGCTGGCAATGAACAATAAACACCACCAACCATTTCAATTGCCATAATACCAATCACCTAATCAATAGCAATCTCTAATTGACTTCAATAAATGCTTTTTTATTAAACTTACCGTCACTAAACTTCTGTCAACACATTGACAAATAATTTCACCTGGAACAACATCATATTTATGCAAGATGTCTAAAGACAACACTTGAGCATAATATAGTAGTTCAGAATATGTCAAAGATTGATCATCAAGTTCAACAGCTAGTTTTTGTGGATATTTCATAACTTGACAGACGAATTCATGATGAATACAAGAGACAGAAGGAAATATAATCTTTGTGTTATTCATAGATTCCAACACTATTCTTTCGTCCGATAATATTAACGATAATTCATAAACCGACTTCTTCAGCTGATTATCTTTCACATGAAATAGTTGTTCTAACATAAAATGAAATCGTTGTCCAATCTTATCAACTGTGTCAATGTTGAACAAGTCACGTGATGCATTGATTGTGCACGAGAATTGATTCATATTCACATTATATTCTACTAGAACGGAGAAATCTAATTTATTCATCATTTCAACTTTATTTCTATTGAGAGAAATAGAGATTAGATGAAGTCGAGCATCACCAATCATTACTTCGTTCTTGCTATAATCATTTTCATTTAATTGAAAGCCGAAGAAAATGTCGAGAAATGCAGGATTTTTAACATTCGGATGTTGATCAAGAATACGTTCAAGTGGATAATAAGAATATTTCAAAGCATTTATTTCAATGTCACAAATATGTTCAATTAGTTGATAGAAGGACCAATAAGAATCTAATTGACATCTTAATGGAATGATATTCTCAAAAAATCCAATGATTGATTTGATTTCAGGTTTGTATCGATTATTGATGTTCATTCCAATGCATAAATCACTTTCTCCATTCGTTAATTTGTATAAGAAGGCATAATAAGTTGCGAGTATAATATGTTGAAGTGACATGTTATTCAATGATGAATAAGTAACCAGGTGATATGAAAGATCGAGATCAAAATTAAAAGAGACAGTTATTCTTCGATCAGCTCGATATTCATTCGAAAGACGATATCGATCAAATGGTAATGATAAAGACTGGTTGAGATTACAACCATGAAGAGTATCAAGCCAAAACATACTTGCATCAGTCATTGGCATTTGTTGTTCGATGATGGAATCTAGACAAACGGAGCGAAGTGAGTTAATGCGAAAGGAAAACATGATAAATTTTATACACACAATCAAGATATTGTAATGTATTGTTGTCGTCATTGGATAATTGGCCTGTAGTATAAGCTTGATTAAGATCATGAAGAAAGATGTTCATCGATTGAAAATCAAATAGAGCGTGATTNACGACCGAGATATCCACAAAATTTACCTACACCACCGATAAGTAATTCACCTTCTTGACCGATGGCAACAGATTGTAAGAATTCATCCATGATTAAACATATGCAATTAGGAAATGGCATGCCAATAGGAATATTATTCGTACCGAAATTTTTCTCAACTAGATGATATGTGATTCCATATGACGCTTCAGACGGACCACAGAGATTCCAAATGCGACAAGATTCAATAACATGGTGCTTTAATAAAATGACCGATGTGGCTGAAACAGGTTCACCTAAAGAAATATATTGATATTAAGTTGCATTCTTTTTCTCCTTTAATTAGTGATACTCACCCCCGTAGGAAACATTTCGTATTGACTTCAACGGGCTAAGATTTTTCTCCAGGATGAAATCACATAAATACTTGAGGAACGTAGGGACAGCCATCAAATGTGTAACTTCTTTACTGCGTAGCACATAATCGAGATATGCAAAGTCCATGTTACCATCCGGATGCAGCATTATTACAGTGGCTCCGGAAAAAAGAGATGCAAGAATTTCTAGTATATGTATATCAAATGTGGAAGCAGCAAGCTGCAACACAATGTCATTTTTATTTAAAGCATCTATGTTAATTAATGAATAGAAGTAGTTTATAAAACCTTCAAGATGTACTGGAACCTATTAAACAGAAGAAAACATTGAAATTCCTACCAAAAGAAAGTGAAAACGTCTCAAATATACCACTTTGGGTTTTCCAGTTGAGCCACTTGTGAAGGTGACATAAGCAATAGTTCTAACGATTATTCCGGTGTTCGATAGTCTGTCGATATCAATATTACCATTCACTACATTGTTAATCAACACTGAATCAATATCAAGTGATATAGTATCAGCATTAAACATAGTTTTTGTCAAATGATGAACAAGAACAAGACGACTTTGGATTTCTTCTATCAGTGTATGTAAACGACGTTCTGGATCTCGAGCTGATAATGAGCAATAAACACCACCAACCATTTCAATTGCCATAATACCAATCACCTAATCAATAACAATCTCAAATTGACTTCAGTAAATGCTTTCTTCATTAAACTTACCGTCAATAAACTTCTGTCAACACATTGACAAATAATTTCACCTGGAACAATATAATATTTATGCAAGATGTCTAAAGACAACACTTGAATATAATACAGGAGTTCAGAATACGTCAAAGATTGATCATCAAGTTCAACAGCTAGTTTTTGTGGATATTTCATAACTTGACAAACGAATTCATGATGAATACAGGAGACAGAAGGAAATATAATCTTTGTATTATTTATAGATTCCAACACTATTCTTTCATCCGATAATATTAACGATAATTCATAAACCGACTTCTCCAGTTGATTATCTTTCACATGAAATAGTTGATTTAACATAAAATGAAATCGTTGTCCAATTTTATCAACTGTTTCAATATTGAACAAGTCGAGTGATGCATTGATTGTGCATGAGAATTGATTTATATTCAAATCATATTCTACTAGAACTGAGAAATCCATTTTATTCATCATTTCAACTCTATTTCTATTGAGAGAATTAGAGATTAGATGAAGTCGAGCATCACCGATCATCACTTCATTCTTATTATTATCATTTTCATTTAATTGAAAACCGAAGAAAATGTTGAAAAACGCAGGATTTTCAACATTCGGATGTTGATCAAGAATACGTTCAAGTGGATAATAAGAATATTTCAAAGCATTTATTTCAATGTCATAAATATGTTCAATTAGTTGATTGAAGGACCAATAAGGATCTAATTGACATCTTAATGGAATGATATTCTCAAATAATCCAATCATTGATTTGAGTTCAGCTTTGTATCGATTATTGATGTTCATTCCAATACATAAATCTCTTTCTCCATTCGTTAATTTGAATAAGAAGGCATAGTAAGTTGCGAGTATCATATGTTGAAGTGACATGTTATTTGATGATGAATAAGTAACCAATTGATATGAAAGATCGAGATCAAAATTAAAAGAGAAAGTTATTCTTCGATCAGTTCGATATTCATTCGAAAGACGATATCGATCAAATGGTAATGATAAAAACTGATTGAGATTACAATCATGAAGAGTATCAAGCCAAAACATACTTGCATCAGTCATTGGCATTTGTTGCTCAATGACAGAATCTAGAGAAACGGAGAAAAGTGAGTTAATGCGAAAGGAAAACATGATAAATTTATACATACAATCAAGATATCGTAATGTATTGTTGTCGTCATTGGATAATTGACCTGTAGTATAAGCTTGATTAAGATCATGAAGAAAGATGTTCATCGATTGAAAATCAAATAGAGCGTGATGAAAATTGAAAACTAATACATCTTTCTCAGAAAGACGATCATTTAAAGAGATTTGTTCATAGTGAATAATATGACATCGAAAAACAAGTCCGTAAGTAAGATCAAAGAATTGAGGATTACGTTCTTCTTCTTGTATGATATCATTAAGCTGTTCATCTGTATTAATAGTGTTTTCGATAAATGCAAATAGTTGATTGTCACTACCACTGTAGTCAATGATTCGTTGCATGAGTAGACTCTTTTCTGTATCGAAAATGAGTGATGTACGAAGTGATGTATGTTTTGTTACCACCAGTTGGAGAGCATGACGAAGTTTTTTAATTGATAAAGAATGTTGAGATGAGAGACGATAAAGAAAAGGCATGTTGTAAATTGTTACTCGTGATATATCAGGATTGGAATGAGTTCGTTTGTTAAACCAGATACGAGCTTGTGCATATGATGCGGGTGCTACAACAGGTAAGAATAAACTTCATGAACAGCGGTTAAGACTCTATAACGGATTGCAATAGAATACAATAGCATCTAATAATTAAACACATGTAGAAATAATTTTCTTTCTTCGAATCAAAATTTTATCTCATCAATAGGGATTTCTGATCTTTCTTTGATAATTTTCAACCGCAAAATACAAAATTTTAAACAGATGTTACAATGCCGGATAACAAAGGCAAATGTGTCAGAGTTCGGATGTGCACTTGACCTGTCCTTGAAGTAAATCGCTTATATTTTTTCTACAATTACCTGTTGAAAGTATGGAACTGTAAACTGGACCCGCCGGGATTGGAATCGGAACGAAAACGTTTTCTGACTGACGTCAAACCAGTTGTTTTTGCCAAGTATTATACTGTATATTATCATGTTGTCTCGATTAATAATCTGTGAAAGGGCAGTCTTTTATTTCCAGATCTGACAAAACCCTGTTACAGGTCACGATATCGTTAACAATACCTCAACTACTTTGCAAATTTAAGAGAAATTTGGAATTTCGATACATGTGAAAATAGAAAATTCTAGTTCTAATCAAGACCGGGGCTGAGACCGCGACTTATAAAAATTTTGACTGGGAATGGAACTGAAAACAAAATTACCCGAGACCGAGCCTAAAGAAAGTCATCAACTGGGTTCATTCGATGCAATTTTGTCAGTGCTAGAAAATGGCTCATTTCGTTGCTGTATTTTTGACTTATTTATTGTGGCAACAAGCATACTGTTGAAGATATTATCAGTGTATTTCAAATTTTCTTTTTTCTCCTATTCATTGTGTCACCTATGAAAGATGTTCTGTGCTGTATGAGACAATTGAACCACGATACAATTGGAGTATCGTATCGGTTTGCCACTGTGAGCACAATATTAATAGTAGTAAAACGAAATTAATAGAATGCTTCAGCAGTAACGAATTATTATCAACACTCATTCTCTTTGGTTTTCTGTTATAGCTATATTTTAAAAAGATGAAAATATGCGAAAAGTACGTGTACTTAGCAAATGTAAGTATTTTTTTCGTTGTCTGAATTCTCTAAACCTATCAAGGTCGAAAATAGAGAAGCAAAATAAGTTATTTGGTGGCACTGGAAAAGCTGCATCGAATGAGTCTGGTTAATCGCTCTGAGCAATTCCATGGGCAACTCAATCCAACGTATAGATCCGACAGGATTTTGCTGAGTTTTTTTCTCGTTCGGAATTCGGCATGGATTACGACAGAATCAGGTCCGATCGATCCCCATCGATACTGGTCATCGAATCAAACGAGACTGTGACGATTTCTGATGGAAGAGATGTGTATCCCGATGGAATCATGTCTTTCTTTATTTCTTCCTATCATCAATCGCCTCGTTCTAATACAGAACACAAGTTTATNTTCGATGATGGAATCTAGACAAACGGAGCGAAGTGAGTTAATGCGAAAGGAAAACATGATAAATTTTATACACACAATCAAGATATTGTAATGTATTGTTGTAGTCATTGGATAATTGGCCTGTAGTATAAGCGTGATTAAGATCATGAAGAAAGATGTTCATCGATTGAAAATCAAATAGAGCGTGATGAAAATTGAAAACTAATACACCTTTATCAGAAAGACGATCATTTAAAGGGATTTGTTCATAGTGAATAATATGACATCGAAAAACAAGTCCGTGAGCAAGATCAAAGAATTGAGGATTACGTTCTTCCTCTTGTATGATATCATTAAGCTGTTCATCTGCATCAATAGTGTGTTCGGTGAATGAAAATAATTGATTGTCACCACTGCTGGAGTCAACGAGTCGTTGCATGAGTAGACTCTTTTCTGTAGCGAAAATAAGTTTTTTAATTGATAAAGAATGTTGAGATGAGAGACGATAAAGAAAAGGCATTTTGCAAATTGTTACTCTTGATATATCAGGATTGGAATGAGTTCGTTTGTTAAACCAGATACGAGCTTGTGCATATGATGCGGGTGCTACAACAGGTAAAAGTAAACTTCATGAAGAGCGGTTAAGACCCTATCACGGATTGCAATAGAATACAATAGCATCCGTTATAACTACATTTAAAAAATGAAAATATGCGAAAAGTACGTGTACTTGGCAAACATAAGCGCTTTTTTTTCGTTGTCTAAATTATCTAAACCTATCACGATTGAAAATAGAGAAGCGAAATAAGTTATTTGGTGGCTCTGGAAAAGTTGCATCGAATGAGTCTGGTTAATCGCTCTGAGAAATTCCATAGGCAACTCAATCCAACGTATAGATCTGACAGGATTTTGCCGAGTTTTTTTTCTTGATCGGAATTCGGTATGGATTACGGCAGAATCAGGTCCGATCGATCCCCATCGACACTGATCATCGAATCAAACGAGACCACGTTAGATCCTGCGATCGAAAAACATCGGAGAAGATTGATTTCTGATCAAAACTAATTTTTCTGTGCAAAAAATCAAAAGGTAAGTCGATTAGAATGACTTTTTTCGTAGGCTATGATCAGATTATAACTGCTTATCATCAAATTATTAATGGCAATCATTCGATTTTTCCCACAATAGTTTGATTCATAGTTCTGGTTGTAATCATTAGAGAGACCTTATGAATCAATGCACGAGAACCACAGCAGATTTATTCACATCGCTGCTCCATCGATATCTCAGGTTTCAATGAAATTTGAGATACCGATTGAGCACAATGTGTCATGGCTACCGTGCACTGCCTCCAAGGCGCATTTTTTTCATCCAACGCTGTAATGAACGTTTTATAAAAGGATCATCAAAGGCTTAATGGAGTGCATGTGCTGTCTGGTAAGGGCTTTATGAGAAGGTTTAAAGAATTCGTAAGTCCGTGAGAGGATTTTTGTACGTTGTATTTTCATAAACTCCGGAAAAGGTTTATGAGATTGGCGATCCTATTCTTGAAATTTTTAAACAGCCATTACGAAGAGAAAAATCGAATACGGAAGAGAGTTTATGAGTATTAACAATTGCCACGAAAATTCATGAAAAGGCATGTGCGCGTCTGTTTGTCTCTTGATATCATTGAAAAGTATTTGTAGAAGACTATTTTTAAATACAGTTTTGTACAGTATTTTACGGGCTACAAGTAGATATAATTGGAGCTTCCGATCTGTCTATATTTCGCAGAAACAAATACGATTTTTAAATAAGCTACCATTGTTCTGTTAGATCTGTAACTTTTGGGGTGCATAACTATCTGCGAGTAGATTGCCACTAGTTACATTAAAGTCTATGACAATCAGATTCAAAAAATACCATCTAAACTCTCTTGACTTGCTCTAAAAAGCGCTATATTTGATTTTTCAATTTTGAATCCTTCACATTATTCGATTGGGTCCTTTCACTGTGGTCAGAGCTTTTGGTATATCCTAAGTATAATACATAGAGTTTTAAAAAAGTTCTCGCATATTGCGCCTATATTGTATAAAATGCTTTAGGAAACTTTCTCTCTATGAATTCTGATAGGGAAAAAAATACTCTCCTTCTGCATGTTGGTTGATGACACTTCAACTAAACTATAATAATAGTATTTGAAAAGTATTGATTCTTCGTGGGCGCGTCCTGACCATACTTCCGCTAATTTCAAGGAAGAGTAAACAAGTATTTTTTAAATAACTTTTGATAGGAAGAAGATAGTAGGCTGCAATTTTCACCGCTAGAAAGAGCGAGTAAAGATGCAACGAATTCATTTTTTTTTTAAATTTTTGATTCCATTTCTACTCAATGTAAAATATGCTTTTTTTTATCAGAAACAGAAAACGAAAAAAAAATATTTCCGCAGAAATCGCCACAGGTTAGTCGTAGAATTAAAATTCGTACTAAGATACCTGATATTCATCCTAAAAAGAATGCGTCAAAATGTCACAACGTTACATTTGGGCAATTCCAGGATTAGTTTTGTTCGCGACAGTCAGCTTTCAAGGAATCTACTGAAATAGTGATAAATAACGCAAAAATGATCTCATCTTATTATAGAAATCATAGTTACTGAAATTCAAACTCAACTAACACTCAGAAAACAGAAACCATGCGTACAAAATGGTTTCAACTTATTCCAGTTCCAGTTCTAATGAAAAGAACTGATCGACCAGTTATTTTCCAATTAGATGGAACTGTCACAGGCCTATTCTAAGCTGCTATTATCTGATACTTTCGAATTGTCAAAGAATTACCATGCAGAACGATTAAAGAATTCAAAAGAAATAATTGGAATTAGTGGGCGCAACCAATAAAAAAGTAAGTGGCTGGGGGGTACCTAAAAGATTTGCGACGGTGGCAGAGCAACGCTTAAAATTTTTCTTCTTCGATGATTGAGTAGAGGCTGTTGATGGTTAGGTGTCGCTTAATCATGCTCTATCTTGGCTACGCCACTAATTGGAACTTGTTCACTGAAATTTTATCAAGTAAAATTGCAAGACAGTTAAGATTCAAAAAAGAGAAGAACGCCAATGGAATGATTTAGATTTATTCTTAGATGGCAAAACATCTCGAAAGAAATTATTCCAGATTATTGAGGCAAACTCAATGAATGCAATTCTAACATAATTGCCATTAGGAAAACAAAAGGAAGCTAAAAGACATGATTTCCGTTTGATCACCAACTGCTATTCTACTATATGACCCGATTTAAAACAATCTTGAGGACTAAAATCGGATAAGGCAGTGACACCGTAGGGCTATTGGGTTACATCAAGCGGTTTCTTTGTGTGCCTCTTACTTGGCGAAGGGTTAAAGTTTTGAGACCATTTCTTGAGGGGAAAACTCAGTCATTCAGTTTGCACGGGCTTACGCTGGTGATATGTGAAATCAAAAACAGTTCATAAACACATCTA